GTTGTTGTTGTTGTTGCTTAGTCGTGTCCGAATCTTTGTGACCCCATGGACCAAAGCACGCCGGGCACTTCTGTCTTCCACTGCCTCCCGCAGTTTGGTCAGACTCATGTTTGTAGCTTTGAGAACACTGTCCAACTATATCATCCTCTGTCGTCCCCTTCTCCTTGTGCCCTCCATCTTTCCCAACATCAGGGTCTTTTCCAGGGACTCTTCTCTTCTCATGAGGTGGCCAAAGTATTGGAGCCTCAGCTTCACGATCTGTCCTTCCAGTGAGCACTCAGGGCTGATTTCCTTAAGAATGGATGCCTAATTATTATTAGTGTACAATTATGATATTAGAAGGGGTGTCGTTGTGAGGAAGCATGGCTGTGATTATCATGAACGGACTCTGCACTTCAGAATTTGCTACTACAGTACTGGCCACATCCCCTTCTGGGGTCACATGCCAGGGTTGTACAGGGCCAGAGACAAAAAAAAGAAGGCAGAATAATGTGTGTTAATTTTACCTGTGTGCAGAAGGCTAGCTTCTACCCACACTTCACTGTGCAAGCAGGAAATATTATCAGAGTTCATAGCCACATTCCAGCTGGGCAAAACCACTTGAAGAGGTTGCAAGGCAATTCAGTGAAGGGGTGTGGCCTGGGCGGGTTCCCCCCCAGCCTGCAGTTCCACATCTCTGTGATACAGAGACAACAGACTCTGTACCTAAGCCTGGCAAGTAAAAGAATTAGTAGGGCCAATCTGAATTGCTTTTCTCTCTCTCTCTCTCTCTCTCTCTCTCTCTCTCTCTCTCTCTCATCTGTCAATCATGCATCTATCCATTTATCTATCTATCATCTATCATCTATCTATCATCTCTCTCTCTCTCTCTCATCTGTCAATCATGCATCTATCCATCTATCTATCATCTATCATCTATCTATCTATATCTATCTCAGAGCTTCTCTGGAAATTCTAGAAAATAAGAATTTGTATCCTGCTGTGAGCCACTATTTCTTCCAATGGCATCTCCTGAAATTGTATTTGCAATTTTTCTTCTTCCGACATCAGAAAAATTTCTTTCAGTCATCTTGTTTTGCCTCATCAGCTCTTTCGCCAAATGAGGCATTGTAGAAGTTCCTGTCAGCTTTGGTACAGATTTCTCCCTCTGGTGTTATTTTGCTACTGTGGAGGAGTAAGGACAATAGGCTCAGGGAATAGGAGTTAACATTAAACTTGTGATAACTGAGCCATTAACACATGTCATCAGTGTAACCATGTGCTAACATTAATCAACTCTAACCAATTTTGGGGGTGGGGGTGGCTTAATGGCTCCTGGCATTATGCTCAGATGAGAGAGAGAGAGAGAGAGAGAGAGAGAGAGAGAGAGAGTTGTGTTTGCATGTTGAAAGAGTATAGAATAAACTACATAACTGAGAACTCTCAATTATAATTTAGGGGAAGATTACTCCTAAGTAAGATTGGTGATACAGTCCAATACAATTAATAAGGATTTGAGACAAATATATCCATATTTCTCAGGCAATGGAAACTGGAGCATTCTTGTTGTGTATTTATTTATTAGATTTATAGACCACCTTTCATCAAAAGATTTCAGGGCAGTTCACAAGATAAGCCAATCAGTGTAAATGTAGAATTTATTCTCGTTATGCATTTGGGTTGTATCCAAAGCAGTGCCAGCGGAGTTCAACTGGCACAGGTCCTTTGCACTAATAAAATTGTAGTATTAGATTACACCCATTATCTGCAGTGTGCACTGTCTTCAGATTAGCTCACTTGTGTGTGTTGGCTTCTGGGACAAGTGTGACTTTCTGACACCATTCATTATTACACAATTCGTGCATATTGATAAGCATATATTTGGACCTCAATTTTTAATGGAGGACAATTTTAATAGGGCTCTGCACCTGATTTAGCTGAATCCCAGACAGAATCAGACCATTCTTGTGTCCTGTCTGGGTTGGACTGAAGCAGCTACAAATATCTACAGATTGAGTTGCCCCAAATTGATTTGTACCAGTTTATAGCTCAAAGCAATCTCTCAGAAAGCCAGATAGACTGTCCCCAAACTGTTACAGTTGTGAATTGCAATACCATATAAGAAAAACACCAGGGGGGAGCTGAACTTTGCGTAATGAGAGTTGTGGGGCTAGTCCATAATGCTATCACCCCACACATCACTCCAGTCATAATGCTTGGGGAAAAGGTTGTGAAGTCTTAAAATGCAGAACTCTTGTATGTACTGTCTCTTAGAAAGTGGTGGAGTTGGGTGGCCTTTGTTCAGATAATGTTTGATGGAGGGTGTCACTCTGAGGAAGAGGGAAATGATCCCTTGGGAGGGGCCAGTTTCTTGGGGGATGAGCAGTTATCCATTCACACCAATGATACTTCAAACCTAGATGCCACTGCATTTTAATATGTGCATCCCTGTATGACACAGGTGGGCGACTCATGGCCAGAGGCTGCATGTGGCCTTTGCACTGCATGGTCTACTGGTTGCCCACAATGCCAAAAATACTATCCAGTCATCACAGAAATTGCCACTGCTGCTGCCAAATTTGCTGCCACCACAAACACTGAAAGCAATCCTCGCCAGGCTATTCTTTTCGCAATTCTTCCCAGCTCTGTTATTGTTCTATGCTGCTGGCATTATACCACAGCTGCCTTTTCCTGGTGGGTGCCATTTTGTTTCCCCACATGCTGATACTATTAGCAAAGGGATAAAATGGTGCTCAGGAAGTGCCAGCATCTCTGTGCTCAACTTTGGCCCCTTACCCAGTCCTGCCTCTTAAACCCAAATCCTACCACACATAATACCAGTCAAAAGGTTTATAATCTGAAAGCGATACTGTAATTATTTTAGGGGGGGAAATACAGCAATTAGAAAAGTCAAGTATGCAAAATCTACTCCCAATACAAAATACTTATTTAATATTTGTGATTAAAGGCAATGAAAATGATTCAGTGCTCTATTTCTGGAAGCCAAATGCTTTCCCTTTGTTCACAGGGCAGGCGTCAGCTACCTGAACTCTGGCCCAGTTGAAATGCTTCCCTTAAGCATAAGGTGACTCTAGTTATGTTGTCCTTGGCTTTCCATAAGCTACGGTGGCCACTTGAGTCCAATTATGCAGCGTGACTTTGAGCTTGTGACCTATACTCTGTTGGGAACTGAACTGAGAGCATCTCCCGCACTTACCCAGAGGATCTTGGGATAATTATTTGGTATGCTAAGTGTAACACTGAGCTGACGGATCCATCTTCCGCGTTTTGATTTATGACAAATATTAAGGAGACGTCGAGGGTACAAAGAAGTGGTCAGGCACAAACAACGTGTGGTGGATAAAACAACATTAAGCCATGACTTGCTTTAATCACAATTTGGGTCCTTCGTATAACGAGCACACATAGAATGTTTATTTTTATGGGGTTTGTTTCTGCACCACGACAACCGTACCCTGTACGCATTTCAGATCTTGATTTGGTACGGAGATCAAAGACAGTTCACTGAACATCTTTTGCTTAAGAGTCAAGCTCAGATTGCTCTTCAGAATAGTTCATGTGATACCTCGTGAGTGGCTCGTATCTGGGTAGGTAAAGGCAAGAGAAATAAAAACAGCTGCTTGAAGCTGTGGGCAAAGGAGAAGGAGGGTTCAAGCTTTCAGGAGCTTTGGAATCCTAGGCTGAGGTTCTGAGGTTGGATAAAGTTCCCTTTGCCACAGAAAATAAAGATTACACACACACACACACACACACACACACACACACACTCACACGCAGGATCTAGGGACAAAAAGCATGTAGTTATTTGCAGAGAATGCTCCTTCATCTTTCTGAAAGCTAGCAGGCCATGTAATCTGGGGTTATATCCAAAGCACATACAATGGGAATTCCCTACCTCTCTGTTATGTACTGAGCTGAATAGGATCCAAAATGCAGCAGTCTGATTGGTCCTAGAACAATAGGATTCAGAATGCAGCAGTCTGATTGGTCCTAGAACAATAGGATCCAGAATGCAGCAGTCTGATTGGTCCACAGGAGCCACCCAATCCAACTCCAGGTGGAAGTGAATCCGCAACCTGATTGGCCTACAGGAGAATCCTGGAATTAGCCAATCACATGGGGCCCATTGTGTAAATAATGTATATAAAGCAGACATTTTGGGGGAACTGGCATTCCTCACTACTATGAGCTGAATAAAGAGCATGAAATCCACACTCGACTTCGAGTATATTTCACTCTCCTCCCCACTACAGCTCTCTGGGCCTCTCCTACCCCGAAATAAAATCCTCTCCTAAGGGTCAGAGGCTCCTCAGGAGTTACATAGGGTGTGGGCTGGGTGTGCAGTGGCAGGGCGACTTGGGGGACTCGGGACAGCGGAGACATTTGATTCGGTTCATTTTTAAAGCCAACTCTTGTCAAATCTGTACTTTCCAAAACAATATGCGACCAGAACCACAGCTCTCCTTGGAAATCCGCACGCTCTCAATGCTGTTCTCCAGCCAAGCGGTGTTTATAAAAATGCGTACATTAGTGTGCATAAAAACGAATATATAATGTACAAAGTTGCATTACATCAGGGAGAATTACTTCGGTGGATCAAGTAGGCTATCAGTCATCTGTATCCACTTCCACCTTTGGATGCAGGGATTGGGGACCAGCTGTCCAATCAGCACCTTCAAATTCTCCCTTGTCTGGTAGGAGCCCATTTCCCACTAGAGGAGGGACAGTCTTGAAATTGTAGACTGTGTGGCAGATTGCTGGCCAATCAGCAGCTTTAAAGGTCTCTCAGGGTGGACAGAAGTGCAGTCTTCTGTCTCAAGAGGGGTGCCTTCAGACCTCTTCTGAGTAGAGAGAAGTGTTTTTTTTATTTGTGTGTGGCCTGTGTTTGATTCCCTGCCCCCCCCCCAATGGGCCAACGGCCCTGATGAGGGCGGGAGTTCCCCATGCACACCAGAAATTCCTTAAGTGAAGTTCACTGAATAAGCATTTCATTAAATCAGTAGGATTTTGCTAACTATACCAGATCAGAGCATTAAACACACACACACACACACACACACACACACACACACACACACCCAAATGGCAGGATACATTTGTAAGCAGTATCAGAAGTACCGGACTTATGACATATTTTATGCCATTCAAAAACTGCCCTCTTGGATTATTTCCTGGGCCTGGGATAAACGCTGCCTTTGGACAATTATGGCAAGATTAAATGCATGTGCCACCAGCAATTAATACAGCAGCACCCTTATGATTATTAATGTGAAATAAATATGGATTGCAGATGTGCTCTCTTATTGTTAAATAAAGTGGGTGATTTATAAATTGTCAGTTTTCAGACTGGATTCCCTATCTGCACCAAGCATCTGAGCTGCATTTATTTGGGGAAAATGCTCAATAGCAGAAGGCTTTATGTGTTGCTGTTGTTCTCCTTGTAAGCATTAAGGAGATACAGAGTATGTTATAAATCACGTGCTGCATATAAAGTGCCGTTTACATGCATTCAGCAATTTGCTAAACTAGTGCAAAAAAGCAAACAAACCCCACCACCCAATAAAGATTTTTAAATATAGATTTTTGAGGAAGGAAAGTGATGCTTTTCCTTTGAGGAGCATATTCATTAATATTTTGGGGGATGGGAGACTTGCCATCTTTGTCAACTGATATCCAAAACATGGCACAATTGTTCTCTTAATCTTGGTGGCATTGTTCAGTTGTGGCAACAGTTGAAACTGCTCCCTTTAATTTTCTTGAACCTTCTTCCTGTCCTTTCCTAAAAATCAGCAGAGCTCTCACACTTACAGAATCACTGGACTGGGACAAATGATTAATTTATTTAAGAGGGGAAATGAACAAACAATCTAATCCACTTTCAAAATACTAGATATGAGTCTTCTTCCTGGGACTCTTACCCGCCCCCCCATCCCCATATCAGGTAACGGTGTCTACTGAATCTTAACATCTTCACTCTGTTTCCTAGGGATAAATGATAGATTCATTCATAATGATTAAAAAAGAGGCCTCTTGGATTCAAAGCACAGATCACCTCTCCCTCCCAGTGTCTTGAATGCCCTGAACTCCTTTCGGGAAGCTCTCTGTTATCCATTCCCCAGCTACATGCCTGGAAAGTGGAATCATAATTAAATGTGCATGTGGTATTCCTCCAACCCCACGATATGTTGTGTTGTGGTTTTAATCAATACCATATTTAATCCATGCTTCAGCACGTGAAAGCTCTTATCTGCTGGAAGGTTTCAGTTTGGTAACATACAAAGGTTTAGGTACTGTATATGGAAATTATTTGAGCTGGTCCTGGGTTTTTTGTGGCGCTGTGGTGTAAACCACAGGCTCTTGGGCTTGCCGATCAGAAGGTCAGCAATTTGAATCCCCACAACGGTGTGAGCTCCCGTTGCTCTGTCCCAGCTCCTGCCAACCTAACAGTTCAAAAGCATGCCAAAAAGTTCAAGTAGATAAATAGGTATCGCTCTGGCGGGAAAGTAAACACCGTTTCCGTGCACTGCTCTGGTTTTGCCAGAAGTGGCTTAGTCATGCTGGCCACATGACCCGGAAAAACTGTCTGCGGACAAACGCCAGCTCCCTTGGCCTGTAAAGCAAGATGAGTGCTGCAACCCCAGAGTCATCTATGACTGGACTTAACTGTCAGGGGTCCTTTACCTATACCTTTATAGCAGGCAGCTGCAGTCGCAGTACCCTCCTTTCCCCCACCAGCAGGGCCATTCAAACGGCTTGTGGCTCTAGCAATCTTCTCCTTTAGCTCCTGAGTCACAGAATTAAGAGGAGCTTCAGAGGCAACCTAGTATAACACCTTTCATGGGGAGGGTTGCCTTTGGCTAGAGCGATATGCAAATCGCCTCTCTATTTCCAATTCTCCACCCTATTTGTGAGCACAGCAAAGCTGGGGATCCTTTTCATTGGCAGGATGGGGAGGAGAAATGTTTGATTAGTTTTGTGGGGGTCGGATTCAACAACAGTAGTGGCAGAAAGGCGACTTCTTCCTGTTGTCCTAATGGGGGCTCACTTCCAGTGACAGCCACAGCAACTGTGTTGGCAGTTCAACCACCATTTTGCATCTGTCACAATGCTCCAGACCAAGCACTGTTTCTGAGAAGTGAGGTGTGTTGGAATATCAGCTGTTACCAAAGGGGGGGGGGGAAGATGGAGAATTCTGCAAAGTTGCCCTCTTTTTTAAGGTGGGCAGTGAGAAAAGCTCCAGCTGATAGAAAACATATCAGTTCTAATCAAATTCTAACAGCTATTAAACCCAAGCAAACCAGTACCAACAAAACTATAGCAACACAAAAAGGCATATACTAGGGTAAAGTGTGCATATAAATGCATATATAACGGGGGAAATTTGCTTAAGTTCCACGTGGACTTTTTTCCTTGTGAAACATTTTTTCAAGAACGTTAATACCGTTTCGATTAATTTTCAAGTGCATTTGTCAGGGACTGCATTCGCATGGCGGTTTATCCCATTCTCCCCATCATTTTTCCTAAGTGTTAATTTCTCCAATAATAATCTAGAAAACAGATACCTATATATTATAAGTAAGAAAAATTAGCATTTCCATAGTGCTCAAAGTACTTCAAATACAGTAACTGAGTAATGCTTATAAAAACGCTGCTTGGTAGATCACCATTATTATTTTATGCAAAGTGCAGATTGAGGGGGGAGGGCTGAAATTCAAAGACACAGTGGCTTCACACAGGATTACCAGCTATATATGACATTAGTACCGGGACAAGTAAATAGTGCCTCCAGGAGCAAATAGCTGTGCTGGGGGGGACCACTTTGCATCTTAATTTATGTTTGTAGTTAAGCAATTCTTTATATGTTGTAAGCGGCCTTGAGCGTGGTTTTAACTTTGGAAAGGCGGCATGCAAATAAAATGATTGATTGGTTGAAAACAGAATGTGGAGGAAAGCTTTAAATAAAAACACCATTTCCCCACACTACGGTGCCAATCCAGATTCTATGACTGCCTTTTGTGAAAGAAATAAATTAGGTAGCTGTTAGCACATGCTTGACCTGAGTTTATTTGTCCAACTGAGTTTAAACTGGATGCTTTAGCCACCAGACACTTTGCCAGCTTTTAAAGCAAATATTGAAGTAGGAGAACCTCAAATTTTACATAGAATGTGTAAATCTGCATATAATATTGTAGCTCCCATGTTCTAGAGTTTAGACCTATGTTCCACTGTGTAGCAGAAGAGACGAAAGGCAAGAATAGGTAATCTCTAGGCAGTGATGACGTGGTAGGATAGAAGCAGAGAAAGAAACAGGTGTGCTGTCTTCTCTTGCCCTATGGCGACGCAGGTGGCGTTGTGGTCTAAACCACTGAGCCTCTTGGGCTCGCCGATCAGAAGGTCGGTGGTTTGAATCCCCGCAACAGGATGAGCTCCCCCTTGCTCTGTCCCAGCTCCTGCCAACCTAGAAGTTTGAAAGCACACCAGTACAAGTAGATAAATAGGTACCACTGCGGCAAGAAAGTAAACAGCGTTTCCGTGTGCTCTGGTTTCTGTCATGGTGTTCCGTTGTGCCAGAAGCGGTTTAGTCATGCTGGCCACATGACCCGGAAAGCTGTCTGTGGACAAACGCCTGCTCCTTCAGCCTGAAAGCGAGATGAGCGCTGAAACCCTATAGTCACCTTTGACTGGACTTAACTGTCCAGGGGTCCTTTACCTTCTATGGCGCAATGAGTCAGTGTGTCTGGCTGTTTACCAGAAGTTTGGTGGTTCAAGCCCATTCAGGGATGGCTGTGAGCAGGATTCCTCCATTGCAGGGGACTGGGCTAGATGAACTTCTGGGTCTCCATCCATCACCACTGCTACCCCAAATATGCACACGTGCTCAGCAGACTGTGCCAATTCATGTTAGGTTTCTTAAAAAATAAAAAGAGGGGTCTGTGCTTTTTTAAAGAAGAGGAGTTTAAATACAAGTGACCTGTGGCCAGGTAACAAAATGATTTCCAGAATCCATTGCTCTACCCCATCAGCCACACACCTAGAATCATTTCCAGACATCCAGCCAATGCATAGGGGAGGAAAATAAGATAATGCACTCTGCTCCCTCTTCTGAGTTCCATGCGCCCATCCAAAGATCACAGCAGAGCCTATGCATGTACGACTGTCAGGGAATGTCTTCATACACTGACTTTTGTAAGGTCCCCAACTGCGTGGAGAAAGCCCACCGTACACATGCAACTTGTACACATGTAGGCTCTATTCAACCCTTCAGATGAAAACTTTGAGGCCAGGAAGCAGGAGAGGCAGTACAATTCTGAATCAGTAAACCAGGCATTTGGATCACGGCTTAGACTGTTTGGGGGGTGACTTGTTATGTAGATATTTATTGCTGCCGCTTGGCTGTATTTTTATTCTGGTTCTGTGAATTTACTGATATTGTACCGTACGGTTGTCCTAGCTTTTTGTTTATGCTAAGCTGCCCTCTGTGCCAGAACAGAGGGCAACTGGGATGGAAGAACATCACATAGATGAATTAATAAGCACAGGGAGCTACAGTTCCCAGAGCGGTTTAAGAATCAATCCCTCTTCGCATGGAGCTCTGGGAGCTGTAGTTCTGGGAGGGGCATAAGAGTCTCCAAACAACTCTCTGCACATTTAACAAACTACACCTCCCATAGTTCTTTGGGGGGGAGGCCACACCTGTCTAAAGTGGCAGCATAGTGCTTTAAATGAATGATGTGGATGTGGTTTGTGTTGTTGTTGTTGTTGTTGTGTTTCCTTGCTGAACAAGGGGCCAGGCCACTTCAGCTGTAAGAGGTGGAGTGGAAAAAACAGTCAAGTTCTATGTGCCTCTCACAATGCAGCGCAAATAATGTTTCTGGCACTCGGGCCGGCAGTTTTGTTGTGAATTTAAGTGTGCCAAGCTTCAGACACATGAGCATCAGAAAATAAGAGCTTCTGTTTGAAGTGCTGGCACTATCTGAGGCATAGCGATGCATTGATAAATGGTGCATCTAAGACACAGAAACCAAATTCCTTTGGTGTTATTAGTGAGCTACTGCCTGGTCTGAAGGCATGAACGAGAACAATATTGTTACTTATAATTCAAAGCTAGCCTGTGTAAAGGGGGGTGGGGGAGAGACATGTGGTATGAAGAAAATGTAATTAATTTGGTGGTGTAAGCCTTCATAAATTATCAAGTATTCCCAATAGCAGTCCTGAAAAACTTACAGAGAACATGAGCTGCCTTTCAATTACTCAGTTTGCCTGCTACTGGAATTCTTTTAAGGTGGGGAGATGCTGACTGTATTCAAGATGTTGAAACCATCACCACAGTTGACATATTGCTCCACCTTTAATTAAGACCGTAATGTTCCTCTGGGCCATACAGAAGCCAGTAATCTGCGTCCAGAGGCTGTCACTCTCTTCTCTAATGGACTGCAGCACACAAAAATTAATTATAGAGGAAAGGTTGCCGTTCCAGCTGGGACTGAAGTCTCTAGATTCCAGAGCAAATGTTTTGCTGCTGATCAAAATGAGAAGCTCTACTTGCTACTGTGCGATTCACACTCTCAAATCCAGTGTTTAAAAAGCCTCTCAAAAAATGAATTTCTATGAGTGGTTTGTCAGTGTATTTGAACAACTGGAGTTTCTCTTTCCTCCCATAGGTGAGCAAAGTTCTTTCCGGGGTCTTTTCTTCTTTCACTAAAGGGTATCTTGGGATCTTCTGCAAGGTATGATCTGAACACAGGTTCTCTCTCTGTTTCACTTAATGAACTATCAGTGGCGTAGCATGGGTTGTCAGCACCCGGGGCAAGGCAAGTAATTTGCGCCCCCTAACCCGTGGATTTGCGCCCCCTAACCCTAACCCCCAGATGTTGCGCCCGGTGCAGCCGGCCCCCCCTGCACCCCCCACGCTACGCCACTGTGAACTATAGTTTCCAGGATTCTCTGGGGAAAGCCATAAATGTTAAAGTGGTATAAGAGTGCTTTAAACTTTTAGTGTCAGAGGCGCCAGCTTGCAAGGGCAACTGGGGAACCAACATTGTGTGTGTGGTGTCAGGATGTCTGAAGGAGCCAGGGTGGAGCCGAGCACAACGGCAACATGGCTTCAGTGTCCAGCAGCTCTACCTCCTGCTCCTCCTCCTGAAGCCACCATCAATGGGAGGTTGCTTCTATCCTCCTTTCCCTCTGGCTTACAACATGAAGAAAAAATCACACAAACATAACAAAAGTTGTTGTTGTTTAGTCATTCAGTCGTGTCCGACTCTTCATGACCCCATGTACCAGAGCACGCCAGGCACTTCTGTCTTCCGCTGCCTCCCGCAGTTTGGTCAAACTCATGTTGGTAGCTTCGAGAACACTGTCCAACCATCTCAATCCTCTCTCATCCCCTTCTCCTTGTTCCCTCAATCTTTCCCAGCATCAGGGTCTTTTCCAGGGAGTCTTCTCTTCTCATGAGATGGCCAAAGTATTGGAGCCTCAGCTTCAGGATCTGTCCTTCCAGTGAGCACTCAAGGCTGATTTCCTTAAGAATGGATAGGTTTGGTCTTCTTGCAGTCCATGGGACTCTCAAGAGTCTCCTCCAGCACCATAATTCAAAAGCATCAATTCTTCGGTGATCAGCCTTCTTTATGGTCCAGCTCTCACTTCCATACTTTACTACTGGGAAAACCGTAGCTTTAACTATATGGACCTTTGTTGACAAGGTGACGTTTCTGCTTTTTAAGATGCTGTCTAAAAAAAAAAGTAGACATAAATAAAACATCAAAAGCACACAAACAAATTAAACAATTTCCATATAAATCATAAGAACTATCATAAATGTGCAAACATTAATATCAGTACCAGCAACAACCCACCCCCAGAAAAACCCACTAAACCATACCCAGCCCAAGAGTCTGTTCAGCAGCCTCTGCTTTTGTAGCTGGAATCAGTCCAGTCCCAGCCTTCCCAGGCCAGGTGGGAAAAGGCCAGCATGTCATGGAGCAGGTCTTTGAGGACCCACAGCCAAAATGGTTCAGTTTTTATAATACTTTGGTCCATATAGTATTGTGATGATACTGAAAAGAACTAATAAACAAGCTGAACCTCGTTTAAAATTTGTGTTGCTTGGCACAAGAAATATGTATAGATTATTTACATGACCATGGATTAAAAAAAAGAGATTGAAAACCCACAAAGATATGTGGGGATTAATTCATTAGCTGATTAGTCGTGCAAGTTAATTGGTTAATGCTTACAATCCTCATGAAATAAATATCAAGGCTTGTTCCTGAGTGCCCACTCTGCAAGTCTGATTCTAGATTTGCTCTAATCAGGGAAGGAGAAATGTAATATGTGCCTCTGTGTTGTTGATGTCATTAAGGTAATTGATTCCCCACCCTGGGGAAACACATGTCCCTAGATGCCTTGTCACGAAGATGGGGCCAGGAGAGAGGATGGAAGGTCTTACAATTAGTGTTGTGATCCTGGCTAGGGAAGAATCTTAATTTCCCATTGATCACATTTGCTTCTTCTCATAGTTACTGCTTTGTGATTAGTCAGGCCTGTTAATTGCCATTGTGTTTCATAGAATCATAGACTCGTAGAGTTGGAAGGGATCCCAAGGGTAATCTAGTCCAACCCCCTGAAATGCAGGGATCACAGTTAAAGAAACACACCACTGGAACAGTTTGAGCAGCACCATTGCTTTGTAATTCTGTAACGTATTTAGAGCTATTTCATATGTGAAGCTGTCACCCAGCAAAACTGAGAAGGGTGAGATCTTTTGATGAAGGGAGGCATATAAATCTAATAAATAAAATAAAAATCCCACAGATCAAAGCAGTGGTCATATATAGGGTAAGGTGATCTTACAGGTAAACTGGTCCCAAGTTGTTAAGGTATATTAATCGTAACACCTGAAACCTGGCCCACAGCAAATCAGCAGCTAGTGCAGATTTCTGAGTACACGTGTCATATGCCCATAAGGTCCCAATCCTGTCTGCAATCATGCTGCAGCCTTCTGCACTAACTGCAGCTTCCGGATCAGGTGCAAGGTGAAGCCCCACAGAGAGGGCACAGCGGTAATCCAGTGCACGCCCCCCGACTTTCATTGGTTGACAAATACATTTTAGATTTTATTATGCTTTGCTAAGTAGCCGTTGCTTTTTAAATCTGTGGACTCTTCCTCTCTTGTATTTTTGTTGAATGATTTTTGTGGAATTGCAATTTTAAATGGCCAGAAGTCCCTCTGATAGGCACAGGAAGTGTGGGGCAGAAATCTTTACTCAAACGAAAAAGCAGCGTAGGTAAGAAACAGAGTTACAGATTAAACGCCTCATATAGTGGGCCTTCATATTGCCTCACCCCCAATCTATAACATTTTCAATAGATGCATTTCACATAGCCAGGGTTGGCACACATGCTATGAATCATGCCGCTGAAAATGGCCTCCCCGAGGCAAGTGACTCTAGCATTAGCTACAGCATTTGGAAGAGTTTGCGAGACATATATTTGTAACCCCATTAAGAATCTCGGCACCCCTGACAGAGAGCTGCTGATAGGGGAATAAGGACTCTTAATGTTCACTGGTACATCCAGGGGAAACAGTTCACCTGGAGGGTGTTTTTAGTGGCATCCCCACATTAAGGATGATCTATGCATCATCCCTCAGCTGTGAAATGTCTAGTGATGCTCTGGTGATGAAATATACTGGAGGGGAATGCGCCTGCCCCATGAGGGAATCAGTCTTACCTGCTCATCTGTCGCTTTCCAACTCACTCCCATGCCTCTTGTCTTCATTTTG